CTCAAATCTCTTGTAACGCTAATCTCAACAAATATTTGAACTTTATTCATAATCATGCAAAAACCGTTATCTGACATAGTCATAAAATATTTTCTCAAATCTTTTTGCATCATTTAAGCCGTATTTTCAGATCCACCTAACTCGAGGTGTAAGATATAATATTAACATTCAAGTGATTGACTGTCCACTTTTGAGTTAAAGTCTTGACTTAAATAACCATGTCTAAGAGATAGAAAAATGGCAACACCTTAGTCTAGTCTTAGCTTTTGACTCACACCTAGACCCAAACATATCAAGCCCAAACAAATTTTGAATATACTCAAAACCTAATAGATTTGAAATATTTAAAACCTAACAAATTTATAATAAATCTAATCCCAATCATTAAAATATATGTAACCCTTCAATTTCTAGCCAACCTTCGTCGGTCATCCATCACCTCCCGCCGGCCACCGACTACTGTTGCTGGTCCTCACCGCTAGTCATTGTCACTGGTCGCCATTGATGGTTGGTGCTGTCGGAAAAAACGTAATTTTTTCTTTTTAAGTTTTTCTTCCGTTACCCACCATTTCCTAACCTTTTTTAATGATTCTTTTTGCGAAATAACCCATCATAATATAATACAATCCTAAGATTAAAATCATAATGTAATCGACTAAAATCCCTCCCAAAAACAAGTTTAAAGTCTCGTTTTAATTTAAGTTTTTTTTTTAAAGAACTACAGTTTGCAATCAAGATGACGACCTTCCGGCCATCCACAAATCCCAAACTTAACATGAAACATGAATTACTAAATAAACTCATGAAATTAAGTTCAAGAATAAGTTTATAAAACCTACCTCAAAATGACGAAATGTCAAAATCTGATCTTACTTTCAGCCGATATCATCCGGCTCTCTTGTTCCAAAATTAATTTGTCAAAATGAGTTTGGTTCTACACCCTTCATAGCCCAAAATTCTTATAAAACATGATTTAATTATCCATAAATAATCACTAAATTCGACGGTTATAATTTACTCAAATTTCAAAAGTTTTCCTGATGCCCCTCTATCTTTGACTAGATACAATACAATCCTTGGTTTCTCACTTTCCAGACTTGGCAACTATTCCCCTTATTTTTTCCCTTTTTCCATTTTGGGCCCAACAAAATCCACCATTTTTTTCTTTTATTTATCTGATCATAATCATTTATTTACCCCATTTTTACGGTGTCACAAATTGCATGTACGAATAGAGTGCAAAAAATAGGGCATTGTAAGACATAATGACCAGTATTGTGACACCAGTGACAACGTCCCTTGAAGGGTTGGATAGGATAGGATAGGATGGTTTGGGGCATAAGTAGAGAACATATTTAAGCTAGATAGTAAGAAGGAAAAATATATGGATCTTAAGCTCTTGATATTGTAAAGAAGAAAAAATTTGATTTGAGTGGAAAAACTTAGAGGACATTTGGTTTGCAGGAATGATAATGAGATTGGTAATTAAAATAGGGTAGAATGGAAATCATTATTATCAATCCATTTTATTATATTATTAGGGATTCATTAAAATTAATTAATAAAAAACAAAACAAAAAAGAAACTTGATCATAGCATCGGATAATATCATCTTTCCAATGAACGTTTTGGTAGACGAGAAGGAGTGAGAGATAGAATTAAAAGAAAAAAGTTTTATTCCCCACATATTGTTGGATAGAATTTTAACCAAATCTAATATTATGATTCATTAATTTTTTAAAACCAAAGATTATTTTTTGTTCCTTTTTCATTCCTTAATTCATTTATGAGTAATGGTGGTTGTTTTTTATTCATTTATGTTCGTTTAACATCTTAATAAACAAGCATAAAAGTGTGTTTGATGTCCAGATATGGTAGGACAGAACATGACAGAACAACTGTTCGTGTTCGTTCTATTCGTTTACACACACACACACACACACACACACACACACACACACACACATATATATATATATATATATAGGGGAACATTCAAATAAAAACCACTCAATTTGTAAAAACCGTGAAAACCTCATTCAACCAATCATAATTTTTCATTTTGTTCATTTTTTTTGTAATTATGAGAGGTTGATTAACCATTTTTATTTTGGAGGGTGTTAATCATGGATATTATCATCTTCATTATTTT